ATCTCAGTACTGATCAAAATGAATGAATTGAAGGAAGCGATAACATTATATTAAATGATAGACAAATACTATTTATAATTAATAATGAATCAAAAATAGCTAACAAAAATGAAAAAAAGAAGACCGTACTAAAAATAAAATTCGATTAATCCAAGGTTTACTTAACGTGATGGACTGCTGGAGACCAAGAGTCACTAAGTGTATTTCAAACAGAACAACTTCAAATGAGATAGAAGGATACTTTGGAGTCTTTAAACTTAAGTTTGGGGGAAAAAGTGACTCTTTTGGAACCGGCGCAACTACTCGAAGCAGACAGCATACGTTTTGATTTACAGTTCAATTTTGAATACAATGCGGCTCGATTGGTGATAGATGAGAATATACTGTACATTTTACCGAAGGATATTATACACAAAGTCATGACAAATTATAGGTATGCAATAAATAATATGGGAATGATTGTTGATGGCACCACTTTATCTTCGTGCAACTGTGACCAATTTATAGAAAATAAATACCCGTGTATTCACTTGGTTACATTGTACTCACTTTTAGTCACACTATCCAATGAAAAACTTTTTGAAATGACAAAACGTGTTCATTCAACTGAAACCATCTCAGTTGACGAGACAGTCAAGCCATCAAAAAGTCGACGTGATCTACACTTTGCTCTTGAAGCAATAGAAAATGGTTTAAAAGATGACAACACCCTTTTAGTGAGATATTATGAATTTGTCAACAACGTTTTGAAAGGAAAAAACGAGAAAACTGAACACATTGAAGAATTTGTTGTCGAAGAAACAGGAAAAAGACTCCGACCCAGTTTAATGATAACTAAATTTGCAAGTAATAAAAAGTTAATTTTTATTACAGAAAACGAAGAAAGTAGTAATTCTATAACAAAGAAAAAGTCGCTAGTTAGCACCCAAAAATTTGTTGACAATCTGACTGAACCATCGCGACAATTTCAAAAAAAACCAAGACCCAGAATAATGGTAGAAATGGTGACGCGTCCAGGAAGAGTAGTTCCACCGAAGCCACCGGTCTTTGATCAGGGTTTGAATAAAGTTGAACCAAACGCTTCGGTCAAAAGAGTGTACCACTGTAAAAAGTGCGGTCAAGGTGGTCACAATTCGAGAAACTGTTTTTTGAATTAGAAAATACTCTTTTATTTATTTAATATTAATAATTTATTAATTAATTGTTTGTTTGTTATAAATAAGAATGTTGAAAATTTGTCAATAAGCGTTGATTAGAGAGTTTGTGGGCTGTATCTACGCGATTTCAATTTGGAGCGTTTTAACTGCTAAAAACAACCAATCTGGTGTGATGATTGTTTTTTTGCAACAGATACAACACGTATTTAAAATACATTTCGCAGTGAAACTTGAAGTGTGACAATACAAGTACAACATTTCTTAAAACCCGACACTTAAAGAGGCGTATCACTTGTGAAATGCCTCTCTACATATATTAGCATAGTTACTCAATACACAGACCGAGTTTTACAAGACATTTGTTGAGAAATCACACAAATTCTTTCGAGGGAAGATCCAGATCATGCCGAAGTGCACACTGTGTGGGTTTAACTGATTCAACGCGTTCTACACTCCCGGCGTATCTCGCATTTCAACAAACATCTGTGACGACAACAACTCATCACTGTTGTATACGATGCGTGGCAACTTTGTTGGTGTTGTCTCGGACTCGACACGAGTGCTTGGTGATGGCGATGTGACCCCGGCTGGTGGACTTGGTGTGATGGAAGGAAAGGCGTTGTTGATGAAGTACTTGGGTGGTATTGACGCAGTTCCCATCTGCATTGACTCGAAGGTTGCTGGGAAGACTGATGTTGATATGATAATGAGTTTGTACAGCGGATACATCACACCTTTGGTGCAATCAACTTGAAAGACACATCACAGCCAAACTGCTACAGAGTGCTTGACGTGTTGCGAGAGACTTGTGACATCCCCGTTTGTTACAACAACCAACAAGGCACGGCATCAGTGACGTTGGCTGGGTTGTTCAATGCACTCGAGTTGGTTCACAAGAGACTGGAAGACATCGAAATGGTCTTCATAAGTGCTGGGAGTGCAAATGCGACATGCCTGCAACTGATGGTGAATACATGTGCTGACCCAAAGAAAATCGTGATGTTTGATATTAATGGGTCGCTTCGTTGTGGACGTGACAATATCGAGAACTATTAGGTTCTACAGGCAATGGATTGATGGAGATCTGTAAGACAACAAACATAGACAAATCAAGAAATTTCGAGAGGAAATTTGTTTTATATTTTTGACTGACCTAATTATTTTAAATGGTGAGTGAATTGTTTTTCGTCAAGTCCAAATTAAACACGTGACAAAACCATTTATTTTTTGACAATTTTTTATTTTTTTGACAAATGTATTATTTTAAGTGGTGGCTATTGAAAACCGAGTGAAGGAACCTATAATTTTTTGTTGCAAATTTTTACACAATTTTTAAACTAAAAAAATCTTTTTTGGCGTTAGCAAGTGACAATTATAGAACAAAAAACAGAAAAAATGTTAATCGAAATTGTTTTTATATAACATTTATTTCTCAAAATGTTATATTATACAAACAATAGTAAAAACAAGTAGTTTTGATGTTAAAAAACTGGTTTAATATTATAGTATTTATATATAATAATTTATAATTTTTATTTATTATACAACAGTTATTAAAATATAGATAAATTAAAAATAACAATAGTACAGTATTATGAAATTATATTTTAAACAATAATATATTCATAATACTTATTAATACAATTTTATTAATAAACCAACAAAACATCATTATTTAATATAATTAACAAATTTACTAAAATGATAATAATTTTAATTGTATATTTACCAAATAATTATAATTAGAGAAGCTAAAATAACACCGTTAA